TAGGAAATCTTTTCTTTCTGAAGAGCCATTTCCTAAATCTTGGGGTCATACCTGAAAAATACCTTGTGTGACTGTGTAGTACTTAAATTATCCCATGATAATTACCATGTGTAGTCCCAGTCAAGTATTATTCTTCCTGTGTAGAAAGAGAAAAAGCTCTCCTTACCCAGAGAACTGTCATTCTTCTCCCTGTGTCACTCTGTAGTGGATACAGCTGTCCTTCCATGTACCCAGAGAACTGTCATTCTTCTCCCTTTGTCACTCTGTAGTGGATACATAATATATTTCCATAATATATTTCAGCTACTGATTGCATGCCTGTGTGCTGAAAGGTGCTTGCCTTAAAGAACCAATCCTTGTTCCTCCACATCACAGGTGTTTAATGAATGCATTGAGTATATTCATAAGCATCTGAACGTGGTATTTTTCACTTTGGATGCCACATTGTCATCTGTGTCACTAAACTGAGTCAAGGCTTTTGTAGCTAGTCCATGTGCCATCGAAGTTGAACTATACTGTGATCACAGGTAGCTGAGGTTGTTTAAAAGAGAAACAGTAGGCTTCAGACTGTGTGTGAAATGAAAACCCACTAACCACAGTAGGCTTCCTGTTATTTTGCTTGTTTAATATTCTGGTGTGTTCTGCAGGCATTTGCACAGGAAGGGAGAAGAGAGGTGTACGAAGTTCCTTTTATTGAATGCTACTTTTCTGTAGTCAAGTAACAGCTCCTGGCTCTTAACCAGGAAAAAAATATTATTTTAACCCTTTTAAAAAATAAATAAATTTTTAAAAGGTTGACATAATTGGGAAGACACAAGAGTGGAAAGTACTACAAGTAATTTGTTACTGAAAACCAGATTATTTTGTTTAGTTGTTTCACAAGCTTGTACGTTCTTTTATTGGTTGTCTAGAGATGTCATAACTTTGCCTAAAAAGGATCCCTAACCTACATGAGTTTGAAATAGTACTGGGAAATCAGGTTGGCCTTTCAGCAGACATAAGCTTTTGGCTACTGGGAGCACATCACCCTGTGAGCATTACAGTGCTTCTGTGATTGCCCTCGATGTAAACATCTCTATCTCTGCTTCAGACTAACTTCTTGTGCAAGCTTCTGTCTGCAAATTGCACTTTTCTGTCAATGGAATGCCAATACTCCCAGCCTTTTGAGGAGGCAGAGGTATGTAGGCTCTGGTAAGGTGTTTTAAGTTGTCCCCCACATCTAAATGTTACAACCTAGAAGTCTGATGCTGTATTTGACCACCAGTTCCTCTTTTTGTGGCTTCCTATCTGGATTTTTTGCTTTATGTAAGTCAGTTTCAGTTTATGGGACTGCAGGACAGAGACAATGAAGTCTCATTAGATAGGAGAGTTGGGAACGTGAATTCTCAGAGTTCATTGTAAAATGGCATTGGCTCCGTTGATGATGACCATAGGAGTAAAAGGAAACTTGCCAAAGGGTGAGAGTACTAGAAGTTTGAGAAGATAGTAGTTGCTGGCTTTGACCTCTTGAAGCAGCATATGAACAGAAGTTCTGATTTAGCCAAATGGGAGTAGACATCTCTGTCCAGGAACGAGCCAGTGTCTTCCATCAGTGCTGTCCTCTTTTTTCCTTCTATAGCAACAATTTCTATGGGGAGGTGCTGTCCTCTTTTTTCCTTCTATAGCCAATGAGCAACAATTTCTATGGGGAAAACATGACCATATATTGCATTAAAGTACATAGGTAAGTAAATTCTAATGATGCAGCTTCACATTGATGACCATATATTGCATTAAAGTACATATATAAGTACATTCTAATGATGCAGCTTCACATTGCCATCTAATTAATCTGACAGCTGGTTACCTCTGTAAGAGGTGGTCACCACTCCCTTGCTTATCACTGATGTTGGGCTCCTGCCTCCTTTATGTTGATGTTGCAGAAAGCCAGTTCAGAGAGTTCAACAGGCAAAGGCTAAGCTTAAAATTGGGTAATTTGCAGCTCCCCAAGGCAGTTTACTAAGGAGGAAGGAATTAAATCTCCCTTTTGGCCATTAGATTAGCTTCAGTAAGAAAAATACCCATCAGAGTGGATTTCATGGGCAACTGTGTGCTCTGAGTTTGTGCTCAGAGTGAAAGAAATGGTCTTGCTATTCCTACCTAGTTTCAGCAATAGCAGTGAGCTGGATTTGACTCTGATTTGAAAGAAGGCTCAGCTTCAAACACTGTCCATGCTGTGTCTGCCAACTCCTACCCCACCCTGCAAATCCCAAACCCAACACTCCAAACAAAGCACAACACAAATCATCTGCAAATCTTGAACCTTAATCAGCATGTTGTGATGATCCTGTAGCATCTCCTGTACAGCTGTTCTGCCTGCTAACAAGGTGAATCAGCAGAGTGATTGGTTTCATTGCTCTGGCAGTAGTTTGATCAGTTCATGCTGACTGTGAAACAAGAAAGTCAGATGGAAACTGCAAAATAAAGTCCCATCTTACTTATGCCTATTGTACACAGCATTTCTCAGCATCTCTGCACTGTAATGGTGGAATTCACCTCTTTGAAACAAAACCAAAGTTTATCATGACTTTATATACCTGAGTTTTAGTGCATTTTCTATTAAACTTTATTAGGATAGCTTGACTTTCAAACTAATTAAACCACTACCCTTTGTCTTCTTTCCAAAAATACTCCGTTTTTAATATTGCAATCACTTAGCTAAGAGTAGGAGTAATTAAAGTTATTCTCAAGTTGCACAATTTAGTTTATTTAAAAATGCTTTATATAGTTTTTAGATGAAGTTATAAATGTTCACTTTGGAACTACCTGAAGATTAATAGTGATGCATTTGAAATGCATTATTTTTTTATTGATTCTTAATGTAGTAAATTACTGAAGTTATTTGGCAGCAAACAGAAATAGCCAGTGATGTTGTTCACATTTATTTTCCTGATAGCGTCACGATTTGCATTAATTGCATTGCAGCTGCACTCACTTATATTAAAAAGCTTCTACCATAATTAATCCTTTTTATTTCAAATCATTTTGGCACAATTTCTAGCAATAAACACTCATAAAAGACAGACACTTGAAAAATAACATACAAGTTTCTTCAATATACCTATTGCTGTTTTTTACTGACAGGGAATTATTGATAGGCTTCTAGGATCAAGTGTTGCAAGTGGTGAAGACTTAAGACCAGTTTGAAAAATGCTAAGTGGATTATTTTGCATAAAAAATAGACAGGTTTTGAATTTGTGTAATTAACCTGTGTTTAGAAAATACCTTGATTTATGTCTACATTTGTATTTCAGTTGCATACATTATGGAAATTTAATTTATAATCCATTTAGCTGATGTGATCATAGTTTTTAGTGCTATCATTTATTAGTCCTTGTATATTAAATGCTCTAAAGGCTTAAACCTGCCTCGTGTAAAAAATTACACCTCTGCATTTACATTTTATGAGTCATAGATGGAATTCCATTTTAAATTCGGGTAGCTTTGATATATTTAAGGAATTACAATAGCTTTATTGTTACTAATGCAGGAACAGCAAACACTGACCTTATACATTGCAAATTAATGATTTATCCCTCTAGTTTGCTTTTAAAGTCAACTATACAAATGAGGACTTCGACTTCTACACCTTGAATAAATCATGTGGCTCTAAATATAATGCACCCTTTGGCTTTGAACTCGTTATTCTCAATTCTTTTGGAAGGTCTAACTCACCTCATAGAAATGTTCTTTCAGAAGTTTAAGGAATTGTGTATATTAATGTCTTTGTTGCAGTATCATTGAGGGATTAGAGCTACATTTATTCTTTTTTCCTTTTTTTTTTTTTTTTCTTCCCACTCATGTGGTTCCTTTTCTAAGTTTGAGCAGGTTATGGAAGAATTAAGCAATGCCAAAATGCTGCTCTTGGAGAGTTCAAAGGGAATGAACAGTGATGTTACAATGATGTTATGCTGGTGATACCTTTTCTGATGAGCTTGGCAGTGATATTAATGGTCCCTAAAGATTTGGTTGCCATTGGTAGAGATGCTGATGGGACAGACAGCATGTGCCAGGAATGTGGGGTGATTTTTTAAGCAATGGTCCTTTATTCAGAATAGCTCTGAAGTTTCCATCTCTCCTTCTGAGAGCTACCATAAGTAATTTTTACTTCCAATCAAGAAGTTGTTAGTGACTTTATAAAAAACATGCCAAGTTGCTTTGCATTGCATGGGAATGTGCTCATACAGTAGATCAACTGAGAGTTTTGTGCATTTTTGAAAATTCTTGAGTACTTTCAGTTTGCAGTAACAATACATTTTTCACGAGTGCTGCGTATTTGGGTCAGGTGCATTTTTGGATGAGTGATCTTTTGACAGGTGTAGCAGTGTCAGGCATAGGAAGGATTGCACATATGATGCAGTTGGAACTGGTAAGCTCTTGGCTTGGAAATGAGGATGGTTTGTTGTGCCATTAGAGCAGAATTCACAAAAAAATGTGCACCAGTGAATCTGTGTAACTTGCAAGGGACTTAGTTTGGATTAGTTTCAAATGTGCTGGGTTTGCTTATTATTTTACTGGGTTTATTTTTAGGGGATGACTGTTCTACATGGAGCAATTGTTATGAATGGCAAAGTACAGCTTATGATGATGCTAATAGAAGTAGAGATGCTAACTTTTTTTGCGAGACATTCTTAATGTAGTTGCATTGTCCTTTAGCAAACTTTGCTTTTCATGCTAATCTGTGCACTTTGGACAAGAAGATTAATGACAGAGAAGCAGTGAGCTTACATTTTTAATCACCACGTAATTAATTTGTAAAATTTGGGGCCTTGGTATTTCACATTTCAAATTTTGGATGAATATTCTTAAATTCATGCAATATCTGGGCTGTTTTCATACCAGAAGAGCACCAAATTAAGGAGGAATTGCCAAAGAGTTGAGAAATAGACAATAACCTTCAGAATTCCTGCATGTACAGCAGTAAAATCTAATGTGCTTTTAATTGCTTTCTTTTCAGGCTCTTTATGAAAATATGCTGGTGGAGCTGCCATTTGCTAGCTTTTTCCTCTCAAAATTACTAGGGACAAGTGCTGATGTTGACATTCATCATTTAGCTTCATTAGATCCAGAAATGTACAAAAATTTGCTTTTTCTCAAGAGCTATGAAGGAGATGTGGAAGAACTTGGACTAAACTTCACTGTGGTAAATAATGACCTTGGGGAAGCACAGGTAAGAATGGCTGCATTTTTTTTTTTATTCTGGTGAATCATTACTACCCCTACTCAAGAATTTCTTAACTTAAATGTGATAGGAAACAAGTGTTAAAGGTGCTGTGAGGTGTCAGTAGGGATTCTGACTATATTTAGAGTGGAGAGTAACTAACCTTTTACTTAAAAATTGACTTTTGATGATGGCTTAAAGGTCTAGTCTTTTAAGTAGCAGACTGCAATGATTATTTTCTAACAGTCATAGATGTGAAGTTCTATTGCCCAAGATAATTTCTTGAACAAAATATTTTGTTGTTTCTGCAATTGCACTTGAAGTAATTGCAGAAGTTAGATGATGTGCAAACTGTGGAAGCACTGTCTGGTTTTGGAATTGGACTTAGCAGGGATAAGTGGTGTTCAGTGCTTCTAAAAAGCAGTTAGTTTGGTCCTTAAGTATGAGTTTTTAACACAATTGTAGTATATAATTTGATTATGGCTTTTATTTGCTCTGTTCTGTGTACTAAAGATCGTTTATGCTCAGAGCAGAAAATAAATGTCACTGGGGCTTTAAAAGCCTTTATGTGCTAATGCAGTTAACCTCCTTAGGTAAAGTCTTTTGTCATGCTTCCTCTGTCGTTTTGAGGATTTAAAGTGGTGTACAACTTGTGGTCTGCTTATACTTGATTATGGTGTATAATTGGATCAGAAAGGTAGGCCTGTCCCCATTGTGGCATGCAGCAGCATCCGAATTCAGCCACCTCTCTTGAGGAGGAAGCAGACCCTGGGGGGGGAAGCAGTTCTCTCTGGGGTTTGCCTGGTGGTCAGGAAGCCAGAGACTCTGCACATCTCCCAAATGCAGCAGCATCACTGAGATGAAGTAACTAGTCCTGGAAATTGTTAGGTTCAGTTCTTTACTGCTGCTTAAGCCGTAGCAAGTTTGGTGGCCAAGACTTCTTCTTAAACAGCATCAGGTTTGGATTTTATCTTCCTCTTCTGTCATCCACTTCCTGCCATTTTGGAAGATGCTAAAACCTGGATTGCATGAAATTTTAAAATAGTATCCTCAGATTTGGGGTTCCTAAAGCATACTAAAGGGGAGAGTCAACAGTTACCTGACAGAAGTAATTTTTCATATTAAGTATATGCCTTATGTCATTTTTCTCCCTGGATTACATTCCCTATATGAAAACAGCTGACCTGCAGTGTCTTTAAACACTCGAAGACTTGAGATAAAGACAAGTGAAACAGATGTGCCAAAAAGCACATTCTTGGAGCACCTGCTGTGTTCTACCGTGTGCTCCAAGTGAGTGGTACTGAACTGAGGTCTGTAGTAGCCACTTTGGGTTGCCAGAGTGCAAAACACATAAGATGGCAGTTTCCAGTATAACCTGGGATTTTCAAGGTGGGAGGGAAACTGCTGTTTGTATTCTAAAGCTATTTGTTTAACTGCACTTAAAGTCATAGCTTTCTTGGTCACAGCTAATACAAATCCAGTTCAATCTCTCATTAAAAATGTAACGTAGCAGATGTTTTCTGGAGAGGTTTCAGTTTCCATACTTTCCACATCTACTCAGTGTGTCCTCAGAAATGAACCAAACAAGTTAGAACCTACCTCAGCAAGTAGGGGAGGAGGACATAGAAAGGAGAAATGGGTCAGAAATAACATGAAAGGAGATCCAAGTTAAAAGGTGTTGCCAGCTCTGCTCACTGCAACAAAAGCTTGTGCAAAGTGCATTCTTGCCCAGCAGCCTAATTTGTTCGTTGAAATTCTCCAAGGGTTATGGCTACTATTACCAGGACCTTTGATTTGTAATTGTTTGGCATAACTTTAAAAGGAAGATTAAATCTAATAGTGAGTTTCTGAGTAACTAAATCAAATGTAAGTTAAAATAAATACGCTGGTGTGCTGAGCTTATGCTTGGAGCAAGACCCATCCTGTTATGAGACTGACTGCAGCATCTTAGTGTAGTTCAACAGAGCCCATTGTTTCTTGTCACTGTCTTCTGCCTTTCAGTGCAACAAGTTGCTTTTTATACTTCATTTCATTACCTTAATAAACCCCATATAGATAAATACATTTTGCCTGCTATTTGCCATGTAACCATTGCATACTAATTGATTGTGCCAAGGTAAGGCTAATTCACTTTGGGAAAAGAGCTTAATTTGCACTCCTTATGTTGAATGTACATTATCTCTAGTTTTCAGCTAAACAACCACTTTAGTGTTTAATAAATTAGTGCCCAATAAACACATCATAAATCTATCATAGTAAATAGCTTTCCTCCTGACAGTGTCCATCCAGCAATTGTGGCACAAAAGCATTATCTGCAATGAAAGACACATTCAAAAGGGGCTCTATTGCCTCTGTCAGTAGTAGAAGGTAGAAATTCTATTATCAGTGTATTGATTCCAATCCTGTAATGTGCTTTTAGATCCCATTAAACTGTTGTCAAAGTGCATTCACCAGAAGTTGAAAAAGGTACTTAATAATTTGCACATTAGACCTGCTAATTAGGGGAGCTATGCCATCAACCTTATCTTCCAACCCCAAATAGCATTAGCTTTTGATAAAGAACTATCTAATGCAGTGATACCAGCCTGGATTTCAGCTCTTGGGTCTCCTGCATAAAATGGTGGCCAGTAAAGAAGTCTCAAAAGGATGTCAGCCTAAAGTTACAGGTTCAAGTAGCTGGGTATATTGATTTAATTTTCCCTTTTATCTTGTAGATTAGATGGTGATAAAATGGTTATAAAAGGCATGTAATAAGAATAAGGTTAACAAATTCAAGAAAACACCTTCAGTTTCAGACCTCTGTCTCTGCGCCCTCCTCTCAGTGAGGAGGGTGAGTTTTGTGGCTGTCCAGGGGAAGAGGGAAAGATGCAAATATGCATTCCTCTTCTTCAAAAATGTTAGATACTGTCCTACAGTGAGTCTTCTGAAACACTGAGGTTGATGCAATTCTGACCACATCAAAATTTTCCACAGAACAGCTCTGTATTACACATGGCAACAGTTTTTGTGAAGTCCATATAGTATGGAAGTTGGCATTGGGACATCTTGGGCCTTTGAAACAGGTGTGAATGCCATTGCTATTATTGAAAACATGCTGACTCACTAAAGGGGAGTTCTTTGCCTTTGAATTTCTTCGAGAGAAAAGTTTGAAGCTTTAAAAATAGTTCTGAAAGGTTCTGTCTTGGCAGCCTGTCCACTAGGATACAGCAGCTGAGGTGAATAATTTTGGAAGTTTTTCAGAAGAAGAGTGTTTTAAGTTAAGGTTCATCCTTCTCAGACAAATTTGTAACACTTAGTGCAAATGCATTCTTAGGCATTCATAAGCAATCTCCTACCTGGAACTCCTGCCTGGACATCTGGAGGGGCAGATGACTGGGAAAGAAAGAAAGCTTTTATTGACTTACTTGCAGAATGGGGAAAAACTGGAGGGGTGATGTGAACAAAAGTCATCAGAGCCCAGGAGAAAGGATAAAATCTGTCCTAGAAACAATTTTGTTGGAGTTCTTGACTATGAGAGAGCTTGGTTGAAACTGCAGTGGATGTTCTGTGGTTTCTGTGCAGAGATACATGTCTTATGTCTTCATACACACACACACACACAAAAATGATTACCTAGATGTTTGGTCCTGTATTCTTTCCTAAAATATTTCCCACTTTATTCTCCAAATATTCCCCTTTTCTCTGTTTTCTCTGTTCTTTTCTCTCTCTAAATATTCCCTTTACTTGGGAAGAAGCTGCCACTGCCAGATCAGTGTGAGCAGCATGAAGTTTGTCTGCCAACAGATTTGCCTTTTTCTGCCCATAATCACATTGCAAATCAACGTTTTGTGACAGATTATTATCAACGAGCAAGAAGACAAACCCCCTGAATTCCACTTGACAAATACTATCTTACTCACTGTTTTAGGTTTTTTTGGTGTCTATTTAATTATTATTATGACACTGTTCAAAATAGTAGATACAATAACTCAAAATTGTTGTCCAAAATGTTCACTTTGAACTGCATATGCATATGAACTGCAACCATATATTAAATAGAAATTTACTTTTTTTTATACGCAACCTGCAGCAGTTTTCTTAAATAAGAATATAAGTGGAAGTTCATTGCATTTTTAATAAGTACCTGTAGAAATATATAATTGAATTCACAGCCAAGAAAACCCAGAGTTCAGGCAGCCATAGTTCTGGGTGTAACCATCAATCAAAGGTCAATTGCAATATTTTTCTTCACAGTACTAAAAAATGCAAAGCGCCTTGGCTTTCAGTCCCAATATGGGACTTTTCTATGCCATTTTAATACTTGCCCTGCATTTTGAAGACAGATTTTGTGAGTAGGGAATCAAATCAGGTTATCTCTGTGAATACTTATCTATATTACATGTGTGTTTGATTGCCTTTAATTTGATTATGAACCAAGATGAAATGCCTTTGTGGTTGCTGTTGTGTTTAAAATTAGATCTATAAAATAGATACTAAGGTCTGCACATTTTGGGTCACTTTCTAGTGTTGTCCATCCCGTGTGACCTGTTATTGTCTTGCCCCATCTAGTGGCAAAATTAGGTGGCTAAGAGTAAAAATGCAGCTGATAAAAAGTCTAAGATGTATTAAGTTGTGCTGTGGCCTGTTTGAAAACAGTCATTCCTGACTTCTAGAATTAAGTGGGAATTTTTCAACAGTTCCTTTAGAATGCTATGAAAACACTGAACGAGTAAAAAGTGAACTGCATCAACACTTAGTATAGTTTTACTCCTCCTAAGTGTTACTGTTTTCTGTCTTCTGCTTTACATCTTTCGTAGCCTG